TTTATTGTACTGTACAAGGAACCAATTAACTGATAGTTTCATTTTTATCGGACATCAGAATTATTGTTCAGAATATAGATGAACAGTAAATTCAGCATATTTAAATTTTATTAGGCTTGGCTTGTTCATCTCATACGTTTTTGCCGATTTTAGAAGGTAATTAGATATTTCATCAATAACTTTGTGTGCAACACTTCCAGTAGCAACGAGCTGATATGTAAGACACATACAATGTACCTATTGTATATTCAGATTTTTCCCCCCTAATTGGATATTGCTGAAACAGTGATTAAAGTGCTTTCAGAAAACCTCGTGTTGATAACATCTAACTTGAAACACAATATGATTACAACAAAATTATCCACAGGGGAGAGCAGGAATGAGGAAAGAAAAACAATTCTTGTTTCCAAAATTTGGCATATTTCCATAAAAATAAGAAAAATCTCGGCAAATAAAAGGCTACCTAGAAGCTTTCTTGAGAATTTGTGAATAACCTGGAAAATATATTTGGGGTCAATCCCACTTTCAGAAATACAGACTTAGTAAATGTTGTTTCCTGAGAAAAGCAAACAAATCCTAGATATCTCCATATAGTATGTATATATTCCGTATATGGAAATCCGTACAATCCTCCAGAGAAGAAACTATCTGGAATTCCACAGCTTCAATCCTACTGAAAAACCTCAGGACTGATACAACATACCGCACCACCATAAGTGGCTAGTTAACGTATCACTTCCTTTTTAATGTGACCATTGAACGCTTAAAGAAGCGACGGAGTGCAGTTTCCAAAATGAATCTTACCTAGCACCTTTACCTGTGGAGGACTCGCCTTCTTCACAGAGTTTGGGCTATTCTGTGTCTTTTAGTGGAAAGCTAATTGTAGACAGTGCTGCAAATGTAGCACCACAGAAGCAGCACGGAGAAGCATCCTGCCCTGTTGCACTCTGCTACTTACGTTGGTGGAAGAATACCCAATCCACCACTGTTCTCAGCCTATCTCCATCTGCCTTTTCTGTAAACAGGTCCCCAGAAGCCCCTTTTGCTTTTCCAAATCTTTATTTCATTCCCTTTATTATCGCTTATCCAGGAGAGACAATCATGCCTTACTATTCCACATACAAATCTATACATATGTGCAGTAATAAAAGGATTGCACTACCTATGACTACTGAGCAGTCTCCTCTGAGGAGGAAGCATGCAGTCTTTAAAGTGCACATTGCAAAACTTCTTCTAACACTTACACTGGTTTTATACTTACAAAGCGCTTCACAAATATTAATTAGCTCTAAATAAATTCTAATTATTTCTAAGAGTGGCCCTAGCAGATCTGTATCATCTGGTGTGAAATCTGACTTCAGTGAAGTCAACAGCAACAGCTCCTCAGACCTCAGCAAAGCTGACATTTCACTCGCCATTGCTAAAATGCTGGGAGCCGTGTATGTTATCTATCAAGTAACACAACTGGAGCTGAACTGGTAACAGCAGTAGTAACAACTGATACGGTTCAGGAATGCTGGCTGAGAATAGAAGCAGAAGGGTTAAATGACCTCAGCCAATCTGCGTAGCCGAAATGTGGGAGAAGCTTTGCCACAGTTTGGGATTTGCAATAATCAGGCTCTCTCTGGTTTCCAAATCAGCTGAAACAGAAGGCGCTCACCTGCTGCTAAAACCAATTCAGATACTTAGGATACGGGGGTTAAATCCTGATGTCTGCTCATGCCACTGGTCACTACCTAAGTTAATACCCCACTTTGGAACACCAACTCTTTATAAAGAGATTTGCATTATACATCAATATAAATATTGCATATTATGCATGTAATAAAGTACATATTAAGAGGTTTGCATAAAAATCAAAATACTTAAATTCCAAATAGCACACAGTGAATGGATAACCAGGTATGCAGCAAATAAGTAGGTAACCAGTATTCTTCTTGCTAATTGTGGACAATATAGTCCGTCATGCACTGCCAAATTATTTTTCTTACAAGAAAAAAAATCCTTGGGTTGTAAATAATAATATGAAATATTTTACACACCATGCAATTATATCTAGGTATGGAGGTTAAAAATCATCTGAAACCACAGATTCTGAATCTTTTTCTCAAATAGAAATGTAATCCTAATAGAAGTTCTTCCCTTTTTCTCTGCCAACTTTACCACCACACAATATGCCATAGAGAAAAAAGGGGAAGTGTCAACTTGTGTAAATTGTCCCTTATGTAATGCAAACCATCTGTTGAAAAAACAAAACAAAATGAAAAACCAAGCCACTCCCAAGCATGATCTGCTATGGAGAAAAAGAAAGAAAAGGAAATTCACTACATCAAACTGGAAGCCAAAGACCATGCCCTGCCACGTAACCATGGAGAAAATATTTACCCCCTTCCTCCCTGTATTTACCCAATTTTGCAAAATATTTGGAGAAGTATAAGTGAATAATTTGCTCTGCACATATTAGAGATTGATATTGTTGTATTCTTTTTGCATTGTTGTATTGTTCTCAATAGCAGACAGAACAGGTCTCATGCAGTGATGCCATCAGTGAAGTCCCAAGCTGCTGGAACCTGAAAAAGTACAGGTGGATAAAGTATCAGTACCTGTTCTTCTCCAGGTATCTGCCATGAGAGGAAACTAAATGGACCCCTGCTATGGACTGTTATGACTATTTTTGTGTTATCTTCAGTCAAATCCTCAGAAAAGAAATTACATGTAGAGAAAACAGTGCTGTGCCTTTCCACAGTCTCTCTCTGGATAAGTCATTAGTCCATTGGGAAGCACTGGCTGAGGAACCCTACCACATATACTCTCTGCAACCCCTAGGAGACACACATTTGACCCTCTGTTGCTCTAACATAGACAGGTGAATCAGAAAGCACTGAGTAAGTTAGTTTGGTTTCATTATCTCAGCTGAATGAAAGAAAAATAGCAGTATAACTTGGTTTTCACCATTTTTTCTCTTTCACTGACATCGAGGCTTGATCATACATTCTCTTCCAGCTGCAGCTGTGCTGGCTGAAGAGGCCACCATCTCCAGTCACAGCCTCCTGCCAAAGGTTACCACTGTGACCAAGCTGCTTGTTTAATCACTTCCCTACATGTTTCCATTAGAATGAGCCAGCTCAGTTTAAGCAATTTTAACAGAAAGTCCTTGCTATCCCAGCCTGGACAGAAGCAAGTCAGGGAGTGCTTAAACAAGAAGCTTGGCCAGAAGTTAGAAGCTTGTCAGAAGTTAGAGGTGCAGTGACGAGTAACCAGAGACAGTTATCTCCTCAGCTACCCGGCCTGCAGACAGAAGCTGTCAAGTAACCCAGTCATCACGTGTGACCAATAACACAACTGACTAGCAATCTGCGGTGCCTTAGATGACACGCTGCTGATTCGGAGACCCTCTTTGGAGATCTGAATTTTCAAAGGGGCAAGGGCACGTAACAGTGTAAATGTCCCTCAGAAGGTGTCTCCAACTGGATATCTATAATCAAGGTACTCCGCATCATCAGTTAGTGATAAGAAGACTGGCTGTCACAACAATTCCCTCTTCTTTCTCCGCCAAATTTTCAAATCTCCCCTTTATTGAGAAACAGTATATGAAAACTTTCACAGCTCTTTGTTGTCTGTGACTGGAACTGAATTGTCCCACGGAGATTGTTATCGTCCCTATGTGCGGGTTGTTAATGCCACTAAACAACAGAATCATCACTAGGGAATTCCCGTCAATCAGCCATACAAAATAACTCTGAGAAGCTATCAGTCCAGAAAAAAGGGCAGGTTTTCCAAAAGGACTGGGAAGATGTAGAAGTGATGTTCCACGTTCACAAGGTACGTAAGCCAAATTTAAAACATACAGTGGCGGTCAGGTAAAGATGCTGGTACTGGGGTCTTCAAACGTTCATAGGAAGGCCTTGCATCCAAAAGCAAAGTCAGTGAAAGGCATTTAGCATGCTAAGAAGCTGAGCAAACTGATCTGCTGTACGTTCTCCATTGCAGTGCTATGCTGGTATCCACTTTAGCTCAGTTCAAGCTAGCAAGGTGACTGTAGTCTGTAGTTTACAGTACAAACATTTGCTAAATGTGCCTGAGACGTAGATCCCAGCACCTTTTGTCACTCTTCAAATGAAGATTCAGTCTCCTAAATCACTCACATGCTTTAGAAAATTTTACCCAAAGCTCTTTGGTTTACAATCTACCACTTCTTTGCCAAGAGGACCGATACAAAGCAGGGCAAGCAGAAAAGTGGGAGAAACATGCTTTAATGGCCTGTCAAAAACATTACTTGATGTGAACATGTTCTAGTTTTAAGGCAGCCACATTTTGCACTGCTACAAGCATTCTAGGTGTAGCTAAATCAGTATATGCTTTTTTATTTACACTAAACTGTGAGTGAAAAGAAAAAATCCTTTAGACTACTTATCACTCTTCCTCAGCTTCTCAGTCAAATTCAGTCAAACATGCCAGGGAATCACCAAACACAGAGCTGTCTTTTTTCACTGGCTTCTGCTCAGTCCTAGACCTTGGCATGCTGTTAATTCCAAGCCTTACTGCCAGGAGCAGCAGCAACTTTGGTCTTTTTTCTTTCTCATTTTCAAGGTTACACAAACATGCGATGTCATATGTATTTCATGGATGTGAGGAACTATACAACCGTCTTACATGCAGCAAAAAGAAGGGAAAAAAATCAACCTCAACTCTTTCTATCCAAACCAGACTTCATTAACATGGAACTAATTTAATCTGCCAGATATATCTAACGGGTTGCTTCGCTGACCTTTTCCAGGCCTACAGTTATGGTAGCATTCATATTCAGTGTGGCTTTCTGTTAAAGGTTCTCTAACATGAATCACTACTTCTTCCATTTGAGAGAGACGGAGTGTGAAACCACTGGGAAGAACTGAATGAGCCTATGCTTTGCGACTGCAGCTGCTGTGGGACGTGAAGTGTTTTCGACAATAATTTTCAGTAGTGGTCCCAGTCTGTAAAATATTAGGAAAAGGGATTACTGGCCAAAGAAACTTCAGGTCACGTCCAAGTACGATATCTACAATGTTGCAGAAATGAAAAGAAACCTGAAATTGTGGGCTAAGCCAGTTTAACTAAAGGAATCTTTCTGTGCTCTAGTTTTATGAAATTGCTGCAGTGGCAAGTGTTGAGTAACTCCAAACAACTGATGAACTCATGAGTTAGTCAATGATACAGATGGAGACACTGACATGGACACGGTAAAGCTAAACACCCATGCTAGAGACAGAGAACGGTAGAACAAGCCGGTCCTAGCTAACTCCGCAGGCAACTGATGTCAGAAGGGTTATACAAGCACAAATGCATGAAAGCAAGTTAAGAAATTCAAGCTCTAGTTAAGTCTGTTCATGGAAATGGAGTTCCTTGATTATTCCTTAACTCGTATTTATTATCATCCTGTTGACAGGAACATAAAATCCTACAGAAGGCCTAAATAAAATTTCCAAAAAAATCGGGGGAGTGTAGAGAACAATACAAATCTTTCAAAGATTAAAAAAGTAGATGCCATATTTTTTAGTGTTAGGTTCTCATAAATATACTCCTAGTTTGTGTTAGCCCATCAAACTGAAAGGCATATGCTATCTTTGATCTCTGTGCAGAACCCCCGCTGAGATTCATGTGAGTTCTGTGTGAAGAAAGAGACGAGAACAGGCCCTCAGTTCACAAATAGTAAGCAGGCTGCTTCAGGAAAAAAACATATTTTCTTACAACAGTGCTGAAATTTATTGGGAAGTTTCAAATAGCTTCTCTTCAGATGTATGTGTGTTTGTCTGGTCATGAGCACGTTCACTTGTCAAAAATATCTGTCAGAAAGAAGGTGCACAAATCTACTTGCCGTGTGAAATGTTTTGCTGTCACGTTGAAACACATACTTTCTCTCTGACAATCATTTCTCATACGATACCGACTAAATCTCTATTTTACACTCATCTGTGCAAGTTATTGGCTTTGTCCATCTGGTGAGAGAGGTGAAGCCTTTGTACAGATTGGCATGAAATTGTGCCCTATGCCCACTTCCAGCTAAAAAAATCTACAGGACTTACTGCATCCCGCTTTGTAGCTGAAACCAGGAGGAAGAAGGAATCCTTGCTGTGCAGCTGCTGCTAGGGTTCGTTGATCTGGAGGGAATACGGGAATCATTAATGGAGGCAGCTGACCCTGGACCTGCTGAACAGGAGAGGGAAAATCAAAGGTGGAATTTTTTCTGGGGAAAATGTCTGCTTACGTGCTTTCTCTTATTTCTGATCTGCGAGGTCAGGTTTGAATATGCTCCTCTGTAACGGGGTGTTCCAGTTGCATCAACTGTTCAGCCTCATCTTATCTACCAAAGCACTTCATATGAATTACATTCATCCAAAATAAATGGAAAGATTCCACTAACATACCTATTAATTATTCCCCTCCCAGTCCATAATGCTTCACGTCTCTTTGACTGCAGGGTGGGTTTTTCTGCTTGTTGCCCTGTGTAACACTATCTCTGCCTCAGAGAGTAGCTTTCACCCTGAGAGAGCTCAAACACAGATACACACACACAGAAGTGAAAATATGCACATAAGTAGTGTACAGCACCGTTGGTACTAATCATCTGCCCATTTACATGCACTTATTTGTACATGTGAAAAGATAGTCTCTGAGATGGTAAGAAAAAAGGCTGGTACACTTTATTCTCAAATAAAACACAGCTATGTCTGAAGTATTAGCTGTTCAACTTTGCACAGCAACTCTACACAACCATGCAAGTCAGGAAATGGAAAATATTATATTGTAAGTGGATACTGCAGGGGACTTAAGATATGCAGAAATTAGTCATCAAAACTGGAAGTTGGCCATGGCACTACATCTAATACTATTGCTTTTACCCAGTTCTGTCAGTATTTTTAATTGCTAGAAATGGACATCATCTTTGTATTTCACACAGATGAGAAACAAAAGGTTGCTAGATTAAAAAATTAAATGGCTGGTTTTAATTAAAAAACCCCACTGTACTGACCGGATCAGTCACTAAAGGGAGACCAACTCATTTTTTAAGAGCGGTCACCTAGATTTTTAATGGCATTGTAAAGCTGAGGCATCCGAGGTACAGATACATTATCAAAGACTGAAAATTAGTTTGTGGTCTGTAGCCTTGAGAAGCAAGGAGAATTAGGGTGTTGATAGACAACCTTTTTTTGGTCAGAGATACAAGAAGTTGTTGCTCCCTTCATTACCGCCTGTGTAGCAGAATTGGCAAAAGAGAACCTGTGCCAGCTCCTTCGTTGCCACAGTTCAGACTAGAGCATCTTGACTTCATTTTATTTTAATCTAATCTCCTGAACACCCAGGATACGTCTCAGTTCACCCAACACTGTTACAAGGCAGAAGCGTGATACGAAATTTGGTAAGGTACCTTCATTTATGCCAGGACCTGTCAACGCCTGTGTGCGTGCTGACTGCATCTTTGTGGTCTACAACAGTTTGCAAGGATGGAGTTCAAGAGCGCTGCTGATGGAAAGTCTTGCAGTGGGAGATTAAGATTGGGACTGAAGCTAGAGTAGATGTAGCTCCACTCACTAAACTAACTTGATCTGGTTTTTGTTACTTCACTATTCTCTTTTGTGTTCTGATCCTGTTAACTAGAAAACATACGTACTTTTACCTGGATTGCTGGAGTAAAAAAAAATCTAAAATGTGATTTCTTAGCCCCACTCAGTCACCCTACAACTGCCCAATGTCTGCCTTTTCTTCATGTGTTTAGTTTTGGTTTATTTTGTTTGGGGTTTTGGTGGTGGTTTTTTTTTTAAGACAAAGACAAAGTAACTGTATTCTTATAGAACAAAAATGAACAGCCGTGTGGAATTTTTGCATAGTACTCTTCTTCGGCAAAAAGCCACAGAACTTTTTTTTAAATGGTTTCCAAGGATGAAAGTGACTTTGCCAAGCAAAGAAGCTTCAAAACAGGACTCAAAAACACTAATAGAAAGACAGATGGTTCTACTAAGAGCTCTGCTGCCAAAAAAAATGTTAAAAAAAAAGTGAAAAAAATGGAGTGATGTTATTGAAGCTGACTGCAAAGTTCTCTGATGACTGCAAATACTCTTGTCCCACTGCAAGTGTTAACTCTGCCTCCAGGGCTAATATAACTAAAGCACCACACACACACAAATTGTCATTGCCAAGCCCACAATGCAGCACAAGTCTACACTTGATTCCAAGTGACTGCCAAATACACGAGCAAAACACCACACTGAAAAATTCCCATTTAGGAAAACATTTACCAGGAAAATGCCCTTTCTTCTTAACTCTGACTGCTGCATTTCATTTTTTCAAATCACTGCTCCTCTTTGTCTCTCCAAGGGGCCTTATACCCACTGATTTCAAATGACACAACTCCGGTTGCATTAAAGAGGTAAGAACGATAGAGTGATGAGGATGGTTTGCATGGATACAGAAATAACGCAGTCAAAACAACGTCATTTTTGTTCCAGGATGGAATGTATGTAGCACCACTCAAACAGCTACACTTCATTTTCTCCCAAATACAAGTAAGTGCAAACATTAGTTTATTTTAACCCGATTATCTGACACAATACAATACAAATTATGGACTCTTCATTTTTATGGCTCATTTAACTACTACATCTTAGCTTCCATGGTGTTTATTATTATTACCTAGAATTGCTAGGATACAACTGTTTCAAGTGGCACAGAATACAGGCCCTCCTTCTGAGTTTTACACGAAGGGTATTTTCCTCTTTCCTTTTTTTCTAAAAGCTATTACTCCATCATTTACATCTCTCACAACTATTTTTTGTTGTAAAGTTTACTTACTTTCCAATGATTTTTCGATGGTAACTTCTTGATACTGCATTTCTAATTCGAATGTAATGGATTGCAAAGTAGCGCTATTTTTCAGGCCTTTCAATTTATTCTGCTAATGAACATATACGTGTCCCTAAAAAGAAACACATCTTTAACAATCTAAAAATGCACATAGCTGTCAAGATTCTGCACTTGCCAATCTCTCCACGTGATTACTTCTTCTTAGTTGTAATTATCTAAAGGTAAAGACTGTAGTTTAAATCCTCAAAAAATTCCCATTGGATTTAATGGGCTACAATTTCACCTTGTAACTTCTTATCTGCTTCAGGATATTAGTCTGGATGATACAGATACAATCTTCTAAGGGCCTGTTGTTTCACTACACATACGATTGCCAAGATGTCAGCTGATGACACAGTTCCCAGATCTTTCTTTTAATTTGAATGCCATCACCACGTATCAGATTATCCAGAAGTACTCCTGTACTGCACGACAAACTGTAGAGGCATAGTATGCAGAGAAAAGGCATATGACATATAGAAAATAAAAAAGAAACGTGTGGAAAGTCATGACAGCCATAATATTCTATACAATCAATTCACTTGTGAAGGCATTCACACTTCCACGTATCTCTGACAAATAATTTGGGTTAAGAGGGAGGCCCGTGACGCAATGAAGGACGTAAAGCCACACCACTTGACATTCAGTTTATGAGAAATACTCCCTTTAAGGAAGCAGATACACAAGAGTTCAAACAGGCCAAGAAAGTAAAGGTTCTCAAATTCGTAATGAGGACAGCAAATCATCTTCTGTAACGGCAAAGTATTTTAGGAGTGGAAGAAGTTGCAACCAAGTTTCACCTACAGCCCAAACCAAAATCAAGGACCCTTCATACTTGTCACGGAAAATCCAAAAAGGAGACCAGCCCTAAAGAACTTATCAATTAAAAAAAACAGTATGAGCACATGACAAGCAACTAATAGCACATCTACTGTCCAAGTGGGAAACCAAGGCATCCAGAGTTGCCCGTAGAGATTTTCAGTTTTGGGCAGTGCCTCACTGTATCTTTATTTGTTTCAGTGTGTTTGAAAAATTTGCCCTCAAATGACTTATCCTTATCAAAAGAAATTTGTTAGTAAACTTGGAACGGATTCAAGCTGCTGAAGCCTGGGCCAGCACCTTCACAAATCTGTGCATGTCCTTTATGACTTGACCATAACAAATTCAACCACACAAAGACGTGCATTCAGTGTAGCCACAGCTAGATTCCCAGCATTCCCAGCTTCATTATAATGGTAGTATTTCCGCCCGAATTTTGGTCTCCTACATACTTTTTGGAACATACTATGGTTACCACAGCTACCCAAGCACTAAGCAGTATGTTTTTAACAGTTAACCCTACTGTTTGTTACTAGCTTGTGCTGCAACTTACATAAATTTAGACTGCAAACACTTGACAACTACAGTTCTACTCTCTTTGCAGTAAAATGTCACGTGCGCTTTGGGTCACTATATAAACAACTACAAAGACAAAATAGTTTAAGGAAACACTAAGGTTGCAAAGTTAGGCATTCAAGGCCTAGGAAATGCCAGAATCAGGATTGCATGCCTGACCTTATTTTAGTTCTTTATGTCCATGCATCTTGACAAAGTCTTTTAATTAAAAGTTCACTATTTTCCCCCTCACATGACTCTTGCTTAATCTAGCTGGCTTATAATATTTCTCAAGTAACATAAACCCACACTTACAACAAACCTAAGCTCCTAACATAGCAGCTGCTGTTAGTTTTCTTTATTTTATCTTTATATGCTTCCACCAATTTCATTTCCGCAGTTGCTCATTGCATGTTTATTAGCATAAACTTTTATGTAAGTTTTCCTCTCTCCAAGGCAAATATCGCAATACATTTCCTGGCATCCACGTATAACACTTTCCACTGAGGGGTGAATACCGCTCTTCCACCCACATTTAGTTCTTCAGAAGCAATTCTATCCATTTTGGAGAGGCTGGTGACAGAGTAACGAATTACTCAGTGTGAATAAGCATGGCTGCTAAAGCAACGCTCCCTTCTCCACAGACTGACAAAACTCTGAGCAGTACTTTACTCTGTGTAGAAGTTGCCCTTCAAGAGCTGTACGAGCATCTTTCTGAAATGATCTCTTACATGGCTTCTTCACGAGGAAGTGTGGCTAATTTTTATTTTCATTTGAGTTATTCTCAGCTGCCTCCAAGAAGTTCAGATTTTACATTCCTAGAACAGTGGATGTGCATGAATGATTCTATTCACTTCAAACTGTTGTATGAATATCCTCTTGCCTGCGACTTGTTTATACGCTAAGCATCTCTTCTACTGTATATGAAAGAA